AAGATGTGAGGGTGTCGTCACGCTGGCCTTGCCCTTCACCACCGCAGAGTCACGTACTGCGGCACAAGGCATCGTTTGCCTAAGACTTGAAAGGACGAATTATTGCCATGTTTGCTCTCTGTCATGGGGCTAATGTAAATCAAGATCTGTTCTTTGCACTTCTCAGAAAGTCACGTCTGCCATTTGCATATTCTGCTGCTGGTTTTTTAGAGTTTGGAAGAGGGACATGTTGGAAGGAAGGCTAATGACAAAAAATGATTCAAAAGTTTCATCTGGAGAGCATTGTCATACAGGATAGCATTTAAGGATATAAAGTAATTCATGGCTAAATCTCTCATAGTAGAGGGGAAAGAGCTCAGAAGAAATATTCTGGCTTTCAATGGTGACCTGATCACCCTGGATGTAAGCACAGTGAAAGGAGCACATCAGCTGAATTGCTTGGCTTGCATGCCGACAGAGCCTCCCAGGTCTTAGCATCTGAACTGATTTTAAGCCAGTAGGGCAGTATATAATGGTATATTACATAACCTAATATGATCATATTAAATGGCTAGCTTCAGAGATCAGAATACATTTTAAAGGAATTGTTTAAAGAACTTTATTCATATTCTTTTATGGGTATGTGACTTGATTATGAAAAAATGCATAATTCTGATCAAACTTCAAACCTTACTTATTTCAGACCTTGAAAAGGTTTGAAAACATCCCTCTCAATATTTCAATTAGTCTCCTAAACTATTTTCAGCTGTCTGAAATTTTTTTTTGTTTGTTTTTTTTGAGACAAAGTCTCACTGTGTTGCCCGGGCTGGTTAGAGTGCCGTGGCGTCATCCTAGCTCACAGCAACCTCAAACTCCTGGGCTCAAGCGATCTTTCTGCCTCAGCCTTCCGAGTAGCTGGGACTACAAGCATGCGCCACCATGCCCGGCTAATTTTTTCTATGTATTTTTAGTTGTCCAATTAATTTCTTTCTATTTTTAGTAGAGACGGGGTCTCGCTCTCGCTCAGGCTGGTCTCGAACTCCTGAGCTCAAACAATCCACCTGCCTCGGCCTCCCAGAGAGCTAGGATTACAGACGTGAGCCACCGCTCCCGGCCAGCTGTCTGAAATTTTTAATAGAACAAGGCAGAGGATATGTGAATTTAGAATAAAATAAGGCAAAACACTTCAGGATCTCCTCTCATCCTGGATTCAGCAGCAGCTTTTGTTCTTTCTTTCAAAGTCTCAATTAATATTGTTTTTACATGTGCCAGGTGCTTTCCAGTTTATAATTCCCGACAAAACCTGTCCTGGCTGGTTTCAATCTCTTAATAAAAAGTGAAAACAGTGCTTATCGCTTTAGGATTCTGTTGTAATCAGATTAGACTTGCATTCTTGAATTCTGTGGGGTTTTCTAATATCAAGTATGCTTGGTGCAATTTGTACTTCTTTGTGTCCGTATAACATAATTTTGGAGCCTGGCATTACCATCTAGAAACCAGAATCTATTGCACAGCTAAGAGTCTAACAACTCAATTGTAATAAATTTCATGAATACTGTCCATTAATTTTTATTACTCACTTGGCCTTAGGACTTTTATGTTTGCAATTCTCCTTGCCAGGAACACTCTGTTCCTAGATCTCATCTGGCTGGCTCTGTTTGCTGTTCAGGTCTCTAATCAAAGGTCACCTCCTCAGTGAGGCCTCTTTGGTTATTCTAATGTAAAGCAGCCCTGTCCCATATTATCACTTTACCATGTTTTATTTTCTTCAAAGCCCTTGTCAGTTTCTGAAAGTATCTTGTTCTATTATTGTTATCAGTATTATCATCAAATTTTTCCTATGTGCCATACATAAATTACTGTATTTAATTCAAAAGTTTAATAATGACAGCTAACATTTATTGAGCACTTGCTTCTCACCAGACACTAGGCTAAGCACTTGACCACACCTGTCCAGCCCTGTGTCATCTCTTGACTGGACTATTACAGTGGCGTCCTAACTGGCCTCCCTTTGCCCACTGCAATCTCCTTACAGTCTGTTGCCGCATAGCAGCTAGTGCGTTCCCTAAAATGTGACCCAGGTTGCATCATGATCACCTGTCAACATCACAAATACTTTCAGCCACGCTCAGGTCCTAACAATGGCCTGTAAGATCCAGTGGGATCTGGCCCCCACAGCCTCTTGGCCATGTGTCTAAACACTGTCCTCTTGCTCTGCCCTGCCACCAGGCTTCAAATCATGCTTCCCCCCAGAGAGCCATCCACCCACATGGCTTCATCTCTCACCCACTCATGTGTCTGCTGAAGTGTCACCTCCTCATAAAGGCCTTTCCTGACCTCTATGCGAAAGAGCTCTCCAGTCACTCACTGTCCCTGTATTGTGCTTAGTTTCTCTTCACTCATCACTAACCACCATGTTATTGCTCAGTTTCCTTCATTCAACAAATATTTGTTGAATGTTTGCCAAGTATTAGGCCTTGTTCTAGGTACTGGGTATACTGCAGCAAGAAGATGGGCAAAATTCCTGTTGATGTGGAAACACTGGGGAGAGACTTGCTAAACTCAATAAGTAGGTAGAATAGATACTGTGCTAGATGGCTTTGGGGAAGATCAAAGCAGGATGGAAGGCTTGGGAGCAATCAGGCAGGAGAGTGAGAGTTAAGTTGGAAATAGGGCAGCCAGGGAAGGAAAGAGAAGTCACCATGTACAAAGGCTCTGAAGGGGAAGGCTGCAGTTTCAGGAGGAGCAAGGGGAGAGGAGGAGATGTGGCCAGAGAAATGAGAGGGGCACCAGGCCATGCGGTGCTCACAAGCATGCCAGCCTCACCTGGGATACTTTTGAGCAGAAGAGCAGGCTGAGCTGACTTACATTTTAACTGGATCCCTCTGGCCCTTGGGAGGAAACTGGACTTTAGGAGAGCAAGGGTCAAAATAGAGTCCCAGGAGTTAGCCCAGGAAAGATTGGAGTAGTTAGGACCAGGTGGTAGGGGTGAGGGCAAGCAGTGATTGCAGTCTTGCTATAGGGCCTACAGGATTTACCAAGAAATTGAGAATTAGAGCATCAAGGATGCTCTTCTTCCAAGGTTTTAAATCCAGGCCACTGGAAGGCTGGAGGGTCCAGGTCTGAGACCAGGAGGCTGAATGGGAATAGGGCTAGGGTGTAGGGAGGGTCAGGAGCAGGATCTCAGCTGGCTTCGTGGAGCCTTTGTGGGTACTAGAAAAAGGTCCCCCCCATTGGGCTGGTACAGCTGGGGCCAGCAGTGGGCTGAACTTCAGCCCCCATTCCTATGTCTCAGCAAGGTGTCTTGATGCAGTGGTAGGCAGTGGCACTCATTGGGGACTTTGGTTTGAGACATGATGAGTTTACACCCAATGAGGTGCTGACTGGGCAGCAGGGTAGAGTTTGGAATTCCGGGGGACAGAGAGAATTGCAGGTGTAAAGGCTGTTCATGGACTATTCTGGTTATTTTGTCTTTATAGTTATTTATATATGAATTGCATTGCGCGTTATATGCCCTTTATTCATCTGCTCATCATTTCCTCCATCCTAATGTAAGCTGGAAGAGGCCATGACCATGTCTGCATTTCCTAATCAGGTGTATTTCTAGACCTAATACAGTGCTGGGCACTTAATAAACACAGTCGAATGAATATGGTAACTGTGGATGCCACTGCTTCACCCTTGTTCTGTGGTTTCATGAAGTCAAGTGCATGGCCAGGTCTATATGTCAGTCTGTATGTCAGACGGCCTCATTCCTACTCTATGCCCAAAGCCCAAAGAGAGATTTTTTTAAAACTTCCATCACTTAATACCATTTACTACATGATTGCCAAAAGGAAATTTAAGTTCAAAGTGACTTTACATTTAGCAAGATTACCTTGCAGCTGAAACACACACTAAAATGATGGGAAAACTTAAAATTAAGAAAAATAAGCCTGGTTTAGATAACAAGTTTGTTGTATGGTGACTTCTGAGCTTTTGGCCTATTCTTGAGGGAACTGTTAACGTTTTCCTCTTACATTTAGTTTTGCTTGTTGATGAGGGTTCACTTTTAACTTTTTCCTTGCTATATTGCAGGCAAGCATTCTATTTCTATCTTATGAGATGACAAAAAGAGTAATCATTCAGTAATTCTGTTGCATTTAGACTCAAGATTGGGAAAGAGAGATGCGTAGGGCTTCAGCTGTTTTATCTGGAGTGGTCATTAATAGCTTTGCACAAGAGGTAAAGTTTAAACTGAGCTATGTATCTGTTACTTATTGCTGTAGAATAACAGACCACCCTGAAATACAGTGGCTTGAAATAATGAAAATTTGTTATTGCTCACAAGACTATGGTTCAGCTGAGTGGTTCTTCTGGTCTTACTGGGCCCACTCATGCATCGGTAGGCAGCTCTGCTCATCTTGGCTGGGCTGTTTCACATATCTGGGCACATCCAGGCTCACGTGCTGCAGTAGGCTAGACCAGGCTTGTTCACATGCCATTGGCAGTGTTCTAAGAGCAAGACTGGACATGTCCAAAGCTTCTTGAAGGCTCAGCTTGAAATAACTTCTGCCACCTTGTATTGCTCAAAGCAAAGGAGACTCCATTCTTGATGGAGGAGCTGCAGTCACATTGCAGAGAGTATGGGCATAAAGAGGCCATTAATTAGAATCACCATTCTAATATGACTTGAAGAATAAATAGGATTTAGAAGGATGGTATGAGGGAACTGGCATAAACCTCCTTTGATCTAAAGAAAAATGTGCCTTGCCTGTCACTATCCCCCCACCCCCCACCCCATGTCCCTAGTACCTAGGAAACACATGAAACATGAGCTTCTCTGCTGGCTGGTAGGTTTTAACACTTGAAAAGCTCTCTCTCTCTCAGAAAAGAGAATCTCATTAAAAGTACATCTGTAATTGTCTTGGGATGTTTTCATAGAAACACACTAAGTTGTTTTGCAAAATGCCTGGCGTACGACCAGTTATCTTGATCATGTTCATTTTCCCACAAATAATGATTCTACCCTTCCCTTGCAGGATTACGCCCATATCTTGACCTGTGTTACTGAAAGAGAAAAGTTTATCGTGCCCATCAAAGCTAGAGGTGCTCGCGCCATCCTAGATTTTCCTGACAAGCTGAATTTTTCCACCTGCCCTGTCAAATACAGCACCCAGAAGATTCTGCTGGTACGAAACATTGGCAAGAAAGATGCTGTGTTTCACATCAAAACTCATAGGTATGTGTTCCTTCGGCTCTTGTTTTTGATTGATTGTAGCTAAATCTAGTCAGCATAAGTAATTTTCTCGAATAGCGTTGGGAATAGAACTGCTTGTTACAATCTTCAGTTGCAAAGCTGGAAGTTCTCACTGATGTAGGGTAGACTTCTTCATCTTCAGAGGAAGCTAAAATTCAAGGTTTAATCTCTTATATACATTTTTTACTAAGTCTTCTACCTGTTTGGTTTTTCGAAATGCTGGATAAATGTGTTTCTTTTACTATAGAGAGCGGCCACGGGGATTTATAAATAAACAAATTTGTTTTGACCGAGAATTTTTGTAAGTGGCTTGATTAGTTTTCAATCGCTGTTAAATTGCCACAAACTTAGTGGCTTAAAACAGCACATACTTATTATCTTATGTTTCAATAGGTAAGAAGTTTCACTGGGCTAAAATCAAAGTGAGAGCGGGGCTATGTTCCTTTTTGGAAGCCGGAGGAGAGAATACAGTTCTTTGCCTTCTCCAGCTCCTAGGGGACATCCACATTCCTTGGCTCAGGGTCCTCAGTTTTCTCATGTGAAAAATGGGGAAAAGGATACCAAGCACTTCATAGGGTTGTTGTGAGGATAATAAACATAAATTCCTGGTACATAGCAAGTGCCATGTAATAAGTGTTTTCTCTTTTATTTTTTCTTCAAATGAGCTAATGCCAGTGTGGTAGGCAGATCGATAGCTCTCCAGATACGTCCATGTCCTCATCCCCAGAACCTGTGACTGTCATGTTAATATTACTTGGCAAAGGGGGATTAAGGTTGCAGATGTAATTAAGGTAACTAAACAGCTGATGTTAAAATCAAGAGATTATCCCAATTCTCTGGATGGGCCTAATGTAATCACGAAGGTTTTTAAAATAGAAGAGGGAAGCAGAAGAGTTCAGAGTGATGAGACGTGCAGGACTCTACCTGCTATTGCTGGCTATGAAGGTGAGAAAACTGAGGGAGATAGAGGTTACATCACTTTCTCAAGAGCACGGAGCTAGTAAGTGATGGAGTTGGATTTTAATCTGAATATTTATGGAGTAGCAACATTGTAGACACCATGGGACAATATAAAGGATGATGAGACAATCCCTGCTCTCAAAGAATTCTCTTGTAACATGGCAAAGAACAATTTGTTATGGGACATGAGAACAGTGGCTGACCAGTGGGGCCTTAACAAGAATGACTGGTTTGGGTAGACAGGAAGCAGGGAGTCAAGTTTTTTTCTATGACTTTTTAAAAATTAGTGTGTATATGGATCTAGATTTCAGCTAATTTTTGGAAGGGCTTTTTCTGTGGAATCCTTTCCTTGTTTAAGGACACATCTCTACAGAAAGGATTAGCATTTGCTTTTGCCTGGTTCCCAAAGATTAGGCTACTATAGAATACTCTTTTGGTAATTTCTTGGCTTAGACACTACCACTCCTGGACTGCTAGTGTATGTCCAAACCCTAAACCTGCATGAGACACAAGTCCAAAGCTATGAATTTCCTAGAGAAACTTTGTTTCCCTTACTCAAACACAAGACAGACATTTTTTTCTTTTGCTGATGGGAGAATGTTTTGGTGGCCCTTCAAGTTTCTCAGGTTTTTATGAAGATGTGGTATCAGTCTCCTGGCTTGACTGTCCCAAGGCTGTCTCCTGCTCCAGCAGGGCTGTTAAAAACCCAGGCTTCTAGGTTGTTGGGAACCCAGGCCAGATCTAGCATTAGCTCAGTGGCTTCCTGCTCTGGTTCTCAGTGTCCACTTTGTTTGGGAATCCTGCGAGTTTTCCTTATTTTTTGTACATTCTCAACTACACAGTTATGTAAGTTATATTTTATCCAGTCTTTCTAGGTATTTTCTGGTGGAAGAGTTTTCAAGTTACCCAGTGTGCCATACTGTAGGGTAGCAGGGCTGCCGTAATTGCAGGTTGAAGGCACATCCCTTGAGAGAGAATTTGTGTTTATTCTTCCAAGTATCCTAGGAGAATCATTATCTCTGAACCATTTCATGTAGATCCACATTCCTGTCTAGTATTATCTCCTGGCTGAAAAACTACCTTTAATATTTGTTGTAGCATAAGTCTGTTGTAAATTCTCTCAGTTTTTCTCTGTTTGGAAAAAGTCTTTATTTTTTTCCTTCATTTTTGAAAGATATTTTTTCCACAGTATAGAATTTGGAGTCCACAATTACATATACACTATTTTTTTTTCAGTACTTTAAGGATGTCACTCCATTGTCCTTTGGCTTACATTTTTTTAATGAGAAGTCTGTTATGATTCATATCTTTGCTCCTATATAGGTAATTATCTCTTTGTCTTGGGCTGTTTTCATGATTGTGTCTTTATATTTGGCTTTTAGCTGTTCGAGTGTAATGTGGTTAGGTGTGGGTTTTGTTTTTGTTTTTGTTTTAAAGATTTTGTTTTGCTTCTGTTTGATTTTGGTTTTAATCCTGCTTAATGTTCTCCGAACCTTCAGATCTTTCATTATTTTTTGAAAATCTCAGCCATTATCTCTTTAAATACTTCTGCTCCATCCTTTTCCACTTTTTCTTCTGCTTGTAGGGAAGTTCTTCTTCCCACAGGGGAAAGCCGCAGGTGAAACAGTGTACACGTGTGCCATCTCCCTTGGGGGCCAGGGGTTGTCCATCTTTAGATTTCAGACTGTTTGCCCTGCAACCTCAGCTCTCTGACAGGCTCAGGAAGTGTTGTGATTTCATTATTTATCTGACCTTTTTGCATTGTTAGGGTGAGAGAAACACTCTTTCCAGCTTTCTGCATTCTAGGTGGAAGCAAGACTCTGAACCACTTTAAATTAATCAACCATCAAAGGCAAAGGAAAAGTTTTTTGGAAACCAGCATCTCCTGACATTGTTTGTAAGTGCTAGTACAGCCTTTGTCTGTCATCTCATGGTGAGCCTCATGTATTTTGAATGAGGGAGACAGAAGCAGTTTGTTCAACTGGCTCACCATGACTTAGAAAGAACCCATCTTTTTCAATTAAAAAAACCCACCCATCTGTAATACACAACCCCCATCCATAATACATATTAAAAACTTCCTGTTACATTGGCATTTTTTCCTATGAAAAAAGAATCCACCTGAGGTGGAAAGACAAGTGTTGGCAGCATATCTTCATAGACTGTTTGGCTGAATCTTAAAAACTGCACATAAATGGCCATTTCTTACATATTAGATTGATGTAAACGTGAAGCAAAATTACTTGACAGATTTAACAGTGTGAAGTTGCAGAAAAAGATCTAAAACTCTTCTATCCATATAAGTATGGATGTGAATCATCCTCTTTTCCTAATATAGAAAAATTTCTAAGGTAAGATGGGGAGCGAACTTAAGGACTAGTGGGGAGTCATAAATATAAATGTGAGAGCCTCTGGCCCAACATTCCACTATACAGATGAAAGAAGGAAGGTCTGAGAAGGGAAACGACTTGCCCGAGTTCCCCCAGTAAGTTACTATGCAAACCTGGATTAGAACAAAGATGGGCCAGCTCTCGGCTTGTTTGCCCTCAGATCCATTTCTTGCCATTCTTCGACTCTTCACAATGTCATTGTGGGGCTGTGGTAGCTGTCCCAGCCTCCTGGCTTAGCTGGATTCCAGCTGTGGATGACCAGTCGGGACACTAGAAGGAGACTGGAGGATAGGAAGAAGGAAGAAACTGGGGTATTTCTTCTCCTTCTTGCTCATCTTCAGCAGAGTCCCCAGCAGTGGTTGCACCTCCTCTATGGTTCTAGCTGCGGTCAGACTAGACTGCCATGGTTCCAGCTTCTGCCAGGTGATCCTGGTTGGTCCCCAAGACCTGTTAACACTTTCTCCTCTCCTTTTGTCTCCAGCCCAAGGATAGAAATGGCTAACTGTTGTTACTAATCCCTGAGCTATCTCACCATCTTAAGTTGGGTTTCTCATCTCTTCCATCTTCTGTGTAATCACATCTCTCAATTAAATTCCCTGCTTGCAAATATGTTTGTTTTCCTGTTTAGACTTTTCATGAAATGGTAATTTTATGATCTTTCCACAAAAATGCATGTGTTTAAACCATGTTGAATCCTTCCAATCAATCCCTTTTCTGTTTAAATTAGCCACAGTTGGCTTCTGTTGTTTGCAACTGAGAACATTGATGGCTGCAATGGGAAAGGATGTGGTTAATTTGTGGTCACATCATGTCGAATTAGAATCTCTGGGGAGATCCTCTGACAAGTATCCATTCTAAAAGCTACAGAGATGATTCTGTTGCCCTGACAGGGTTCTTCAATTAATATGATTGTTAATAGACTTGGTAGAACAGTGGATGTAGTTTGAGAATTTGGAGTCAAAATCGCAGAGTCTACTTTTAGTCCTGCCACTTTTAGTGTCAATATGAAGCTAGAAACGACATCTCACAGGAAATTATTTAAAAAACAGATCATCTTTTTTCTCATTGAAATAATGATTTAATTAATGGTAAGTTTTTAAAATGGTTAGGTTCATGTAAATTATAAAAATCAGAACTTTCTTTATGTGACTATTGCCGTATTGGAATGTGAGCTTCTCAAATGCAAGGTTTGTATCTAACTCTTTTCATTCGTATGTCCTCAGTGTCCAGCAAAGTGTCTAGAATAAATAAGCACTCAATAAATGTTTATAGGATGTCTAACAATATATCACAAAAGCAAAGCTACATCTATAAACCTCTACAATAAAATTTTTTAAAATATGCTCCAAGTACTATAAAATAAGCATAATATTTTTTGCACTAATAAAAGGAGCTGCAATGTGCTGTAAAATACAGAGAGAACATAAAGTATTACTGTTCAACTTTAGCACAAATTCGACCTAAAACTCTAGTAAGTATCAGAATAACTTTGACTATTAAAGTAGGATTAATATTGGACTGTGAAATAGAGAGGATTAGGAAGCAATTTCAAAATCTAAAATCTCAAGGTAGGAATTAAATAAGAAAGATTATCTGAAGAAAAAATACTAATATCATGTTTAATATTTAATA